CAGGAATGCAAGAATGGCTGTCAGTAGTAGAGCAACCCATGTTATCTCAGGAAAGCTAATGGGCCTCTATCCAGAGAAGAATAGATACCCAAAACACTTCTATGAAATAGGAATAAATAGCTACCTGTGAGATACCAAAACTATTACTGCAGTAATAGTTTTGGTATCTCTGCCTCCACCCCCCACCCATCCCCAGTGCAGCCCATCTGCACTACACAAGCCAACAGAAACCCTAGGGGGCTGCCTATTGACAGCCTGCCCCCGTTCTAGACAAAGGAAAGGGCAGGATAAAGTAATAAAGGTAAGTGTTACGCAGAAAACAGCCATTTAGTGCCCACTAGCTGAAGAGCACCCCAATGCTCCAGTACCCAGGCTATTTTCCTACAGATAATGAAAGGAGATTTCTTGCCAGTAGAAATTAACTGTCTGTGGCCTTAGACAAGAATCTGGTTTCTATCACTAAACTTTTGGATGTTTTAGATAAGTGGCAACTTCAAGGAACATAGGGTGACAATTTATTTTCATTGTTGTTACTGAACCAAAGAGTACATGAAATATTTACCCATTATAGGTTTCAGAGACTCCTGCAAAAGGTTCATTCCCACATTTGGCAAATAAAAATACTGTGTTTAGCAGCAAAGCCACTGAACAAGTGCCTAGAGTGAACTTGATTATGCTTTTACAATCCATTTTGTACTTGGAAACCAAAATGCCACTTATGATTTGGCCTAGCGCAGCTCCTGGAATTAATACAAGCCCTAGAGAAAAGGGGGGGGGGGGGAAAAAGAAGATAGCATCAATTACACAAAAAGTTTAAGTGAAAATGAAGCAATTCAGAAACTACTTTCATATTTATGAAAAAAAATATAAAATAGTAGAGTTACATCCTATGATACAACAGAATGCCTTTCAAAATTACACAAGTAGACTTTCAAAAAGGCTTGAATAAAGTCTCACTAAAAATAAAATCTTCTTCCTTGGTCTCAGACTCAACCTGTGGCCTCTTTAGTAATTTAGCATTTCCTTAACGTTTGTTAGTATGCTCAGGGCTTTAGAGTTAGCAAGGCTCAGTGTGGCAATATTAGATTTAATAGATAATCTTTGCCATGCAGTGCTTCCATTTGCCAGCAGTGTGCCAAGTTAGACACTAAGCCCACTTACCTTATTTTCCTCCCCTTCCCAGCAGTTACTAGAAGTAACATACATTATCATTCTCCTGCGTTTGTCCTCATTCTACTTGCACACTACTGCAACCACCTCTTTCCTGGGAGTATAACCTCCAGTAGGTATCAGGAACAGAAACAGAGAGATGCAGTCTAGTTGGCTATAAATCCATTGTCAGAGCAGGCTTAGCCTAAAAAAAGCTATTATCCCCTTCGCTCAAAAAAAAGCCAATTATACACACAAATTCTTCAATTCATATAGATTAAAGTTAGGGCAAGGATATTTTTACAGCCTTGCTATAAGCCAGTGGTTCCCAGCTTCCTTAGATTTAAGGCATCCCTTCATAAATTATTCTCTAGTAGGGTGTTGCTAAACTCAGAAAGACTGCTTTAGGCATTAGAGAACTTGAGAGTTCTCATAAGGAAAGCCTACCAGCAGCAGACAGGCTTTGAAGTGGAAGTTTAAGTCAGGACTTCCAAAGATGTTCAGAAAGCAGTTTGTCCTGATCTGTACTATTATTCACCTGCACCCACCTGACAGTGACCATCTGCAATGAGTTATCTACTAACAAGCAGAATTAAGAGCATAGCCTCTGCAGAACCCTGCTGGTCCTAATTTTTTTTACCTCATTAACCACTATAAATAATTTTTACATTAAGGATTTGCCAAGGAAGATATTACTGAAAATAAATTGATAGTTAAAAAATGTAGCAGTTTAAAAAGCCATGAACAGATGCACCAGACATGTTCTGGCCCTCCCATCCCACACACACACACACACACACACACACACACACACACACACAGAGCATTTAGTCACTAAACATTTAGTCCTCATGAGCAGGGATCCTGGTTCTCTCTGGTAACAAAAAATTCAAATTGATAAAAGCCCCAAAATCCATTATTAAAAAATTGAAAGCCCCCTGCAGCACCCCCAGCCCTGCTGGGACTCCTCACTGCCCCCAAAGCCCCCCAACCCTGGTCCTGCTGGTGGCCCTCACAACAGCCCCCCAGCCCTACTCATGCCTCTTGCCCCCTACCCACAGCCCCTGCCCCCCAGGCCTGCCAGAGGGGGCCCCCAGCTGCCAGGGCTATGGGGCCAGGGACCCAAGTCTGCAGCTCCGTGCCCCGCCCCCCCTACCTGCTCAGGTGGAGCCAGGGCCAACTCCTGGCTCCCCCCAGCCCTGATGGTACCCCCAGCCATGACCTGCAGCACCCCCACCCCCAGCCTGCCAGAGGGGCCCCCAGTCCCCTGCAAGCCCCACTTACCACACAAGCTCCAGGAGTAAAAGAGGCTGAGCCAAACTGAGCCATGGCTGACTGCACCTCAGGCCCTGCCCTCGCCCTCCCCCTCCCTCTCCAGGCAGGGCTAGGTTTCCCACCTGGTCTTCAAATAGCTTTTGCAGGCTGGAGCTCAACCAGCCTGCAGAGCTGTTTGCAAAAGCATGGAATCCACAGGTTTCTCTGATAAAAAAGGGAAAAAAAATCCATAGTTTTGTTTCCCCCCCCCCCCCATGGGAAATGGAAAACCCAGATCCCTGCTCATGAGACATAATTGGCATCTATCAATTTCAGTGGTTCTTAACTCTCTCTTGGTTGCTGTACTGGTACTATGGATAAAGTGGAACTGTCCCATGTACCAGGTGGTGTGTGCAGGACTGGACTGGGAAGCACCTGCAACAGGAGACACTTCTGCCTGCAATAGGTTCTAGATAAGCCCAACTAAATAGTTATTTTAGGACTAAATTAGTTCTTTTTAGAGAGGGAAAAGCTAATATTATTAAGTGGTACTTCTGCATGTAAAAGGTGGTAGACTTCTTTTCCCCCAAAGGAGGCAACTTAGTTAGAATAGTCTAGAAGGTAATAGGATTACATTGAGAAAACAGCAGCCCTGCACATATTACTATGAGGGACAAACAAGAAAAACAAAGCCAAACTCATCGAGGCATAAAGTTCAACAGTATCAGGCTAGCAAGAGACCCAGTAGAAAGGGCACCTCTAGCAAGGTACATTTTTTTCTTATGGTGCTGATCTAGTCGGGTAATACTGACCTGTACAAGTAATGCATTTTTATTGGACAGCTTTCTAAACAGCATGACTGTCTGCTATAGATTTTTCTATATCTTAAGTATCTTTTCTTCTGTTTTTCCAGAAATGTTACCTAGGGTAGTCCAGAAGGTAACTTCCTTAAATATTTTATTTATATACAAAAAGAAACCCACATTCCTTTACAAATGTAAAGCATGTGTATGAAAACTTTATATCTGCATGCAACTGAAATGTGTAATTTCCCCCCCCCTTAAAAATCTATACAGTATTCTGATGATCATGGTCATTTCCCTGATCTCCATCCAGTTTAGAATACACTTCCATGAACAACAACAGCCTCTATGCATTGTGGAACAGATCGTTTTACAGAGCAAAATATTTAATTATGCAGACTAAACATTTCTTGTACCACAAAACTTTGTTATCCGTTATCACCAAGCAGTCCTTTTCAAGTGATTGTTTTACATAGTGCTCCATAGACTTACGGATCCGATTTGGATTAACTAAGACTCAGTTTGGGGAGAGGGGGGAAAATCATTTCTACCCATAGTCCTTACAGGTTCTTGCATATATTGAGGAGGCAGGACAAACTAATATATAGAGACCATTTCATTAAATGCACTTTACTTCAATTAAATACTAGTGTCAGAGACCAGGTTTTAAACAAGGAATATATAGTTTTAGTACCATATAAAGCCCACTTCAAGGAGGCAGGTATTGTCTCAAAATGTCTTCACTCCAATTGTTTCCCCCTACTGCCCTCCAAGACACCTTGGGGAAAATGAAGCACAAGAGTGTCTAAGTGGTACTGGCTTCATTTAATTGTCCTGCCACAAGTGTTACCTGAAGACACCGGCGGGCGTTAAAATATACTCCGCAGGGGGGGGGGGGGG